ATTTTATAACCGTCGTTGAACAGCCGACCCAATTTCATGGGTTTACGACTACTTACGTTCAACTCCGTAGCCTTGTAATTTTGAACCAATCCAGAAGACAAGGAAGCTCCTGGATCAGTACCCTCAGAGGTATTGATTTATTGTGGGAACATGGAGGAATACGCGACTTGACAGATTTAATGTGCATCTGTCATTATTTACTACACAGGGAGGCTTCGGCCGGCGGGGATCAAACCCACAAATTCTTGGACATTGGCTCAGTGCCCTACCATACAGATTATTTAGCATTAATGATATAGAATTAATTTTCAAAACATTTTTTCTTGAAGCAATTTTAAAAGTTCAAACAATAACAGCCACAAAGCACACTGAAATTGAAAGTAGTTTAAGGTTAAGATATCCATCAGTCAATGATGAATAATTTGTTTTTAACAGTGTTCATTCCCATAATCTAAAAAATTAAGCAAGTTTAAAAAGAAAAGAGAATTTTTTAAGAAACAATTATTAAAAAATATTACTATTTCTTCAATTTGCTTGAAGCTTAGACTATTGTCGCATGCCACCTCTGTTATAGCTGCCTCCTATTAGGGTTGCCACCCCTCAGGAAAAACTTGGAAAATATGGGGAATTTAAAAGTCATCTAAAATAACAGGGAAATTTGATTTTTTTTTTATTATTGTTTTTAACAAGCAGGGAATTTTATTTCTTATTTTTATATAGCTTTTTTTTTTTTTTAATAATTGTTGTTGAACAGTCGACCCAATTTCAGGTTTAAAACTACTAATGTTCATCTCCGTAGCTTTGTAATTTTGAGCCCAATCCAGAAAACAAGGGAACTCCTGGATCAAGTATTGAGAAAAATTTGTTTTATAGAGTACTTTTTGATGGCATTAATCCACATTTGCGTTGCACGGAGAGGAAAACCTCCCACGGTTAGCCAGGGTTCTTGCTGTCCTAAAATGTCCTAAAAAAGTGCTAAAATTTTTTCCCAACTTTTTTAGGGCCTAAAAAGTGCTAAAATTTCTTCTGAGTGCTAAAAAAGTGCTAAATATTTTTTATTTTGGCGTTTTGAAAAAAAAAATTTTTTTGAGCGGTCGGATTCCTTAAATCGGTTTCCCTAAATCCTTAAATTCTGTTGCCTTCAGCTCTTCTGCTGCCTCCATCTTTTTAGAAGATTCTTGGGCTTTGGGGAAAGAAGTTTTTTCTTCTGAGATTTTATGGGCTTTAAAAGTAGCTACTACTCCTACAATTCTTCCAAAGACTCTGGAAAATTATTTAGTACAATGTTTCCAGACAGTTCAATAGCACGTCATTTCGCCTGCAGTAAATCTAAGTGTGCATATCTCTGTCATTTTGGACGTGCACCTCATTTTAACATGCTACTTCTGAAGTGCATCGATAATGCCAAGTTTTATACATTGCTTTTTGATGAGTCTTTGAACAAAGCGACACAGCAAAAGCAGTTGGATATACATATCCACTTTTGGAACCCAGGTAAGAACATTGTAGAGACGCGATACTTAACATCAGCTTTTCTGGGCCATTCTGCAGCATGACCTTTTAGCCTGCTTTTATTCATCAGTCAAAAATGTAGACCTGAAGAAATTATTGCAGATTTCTATGGACGGTCCTGCTATCAATTGGAAGTTTTATAATAATATTCAAGAAGATTTGTTAAAAGAACATGGTGTTCAATGCAATGCAATAGGTAGTTGTGGGCTTCATATTTTAAATAATGGATTCTACAAAGGTGAAACTGAAGCAGAATGGCTCATTGGTTCCATCCTGAGCTCAATCTTCTATCTTTTTAAAGATTCACCCACAAGAAAAGAAGATTTTATTTATCAATCAACTGAGAACAAATTACCACTAAGATTTTATAACCACCGTTGGCTGGAAAATGCACCTGCAGCTGAAAGAGCAATATTGCTTTGGAATGATCTGAAATCTTATGTGAAAAAATGTTGGCAAGTTTAAAAAAGTGAAATGTAAATCCTTTTTACCTTTACAAGAAGCAATAAAAGACAAATTAATTCTTGTTAAGCTGAACTTTTTCTTAAATGTGTCGGAGCTAGTTTCACCATTTTTGAAACTGTATCAAGCAGATCGGCCACTTTTATCATTTTTTGCTGCAGATATCCAGGATTTGGTATTACATAGTGTGCAATTATATAACATTCTGAAGCCAGAATCTATAGAAAACTTAAATTCTCTGGAGAAACTGTGCCATTTTAATTTTTGCGATGAAAAGAATTATGTCTCTCTGACAAAAATCAGTGTAGGTTTTAAAGGTGACCAAATTTTAAAGCAGCTGTTGGCCTCAAAAGTTATTTCTGACCGAGATCATATGAATATAAAGAAAGATTGCAGAAAGTTTATCACCAAAATGTTAGAAACTTTACTGGAGAAATGTCCAATAAACTATTCTGTTGTAAGAAATGTTGCTTGCATCAATCCAAAATTAATGTCAGAAAACAAAAGCAAGTGTGTTCTAAAAATGAGAAACATATTAAATTACTTAAGTCAAAAAA